GACTGATTGCTTAATATATTGATACACATCATGTTTATTTTGTGGTTGGCTTCAAAATGGCCAACAAAGCCTATTAGAATTGTAAATCTAATACTGACACCAAATATGATTATATATTTATTAAAAACATAACGCACTACTACTTTTTATTGCAGAGCTGTTCACATCCTGCCCAACAGGTTTCTAGGAATTGTGGGAGAACATGAAGATTTCCCGATTGAAAGTCTTGCTGTCTCACATGACCAATCAATTCTCATTAGTTCATCTCATGACCAGAAAATAAAATTTTGGAATATTCAGGAATTAGACCACATTGATGTTGATCCTCAGGAGAAATGCAAAAAGAAAAAAAGGAAAAATAAACGACTAAACACCAGTGGAAAGGAAGAGGTGGATTTTTTTGCAGATCTTGAATGAAGGAATTACAGAATGAAGAATGAGAATGAAGTAACGTCTCCATTGCATGTACACTGCAACATTTGAAGATGCATTTATGCGTTTATGATATACTTTTATAATTTCAGATTTGTATAGCATCGTGACATCAATACTACAAAATTAAAGCAGTCTTTGTTCCTCCATATTTCAGTACATGTTGTTTAATTTCATACATTTTATGAGAATTACTGGGGAAGGTGTCAACCACAGTTTACAAAACCACAACCACAAACAATGCAGCACTATAGCCATGTCCATATATATCACATATAGTCAGGAAACAACATTTATCAAAAAGCACACTTGGCAGTGTTCCTACAGAATGTACAGGAAATGTTCATATACCACTCTTTGTGCTATGCATGACGAGCATTCCTACAGTCAGTATGTAAAAGGATACATAATTTCATTTTTAATAGATGTACTAATTGCCAAGTTCAGGGTCACGATTATTCATATTTCAATGTATTTATGAACATACAGTATCAAACAACAATATTGAAAATTACACATTTCATTCCATATTGCATATTCACCATTGTTTTTCAATAATTCATTTTTTTATGTGAATTTGTCAGAAACACATACAAATATTCAAAAATTGGCACTTGGCTTTTAGTACTTTGCAAATATCTGTGAATAAACATACTTTAATGGGAAAATAATGTTTTCTTGACCAATCAGCAGGTATGCTGAAGAGGCACCATCACCAATGGCAAAAACCTAGATTGTGTACACAACCTTGGTGTTGTAGTGGTGCACTTTTGGAATAACCTCCTAAAAATGTCCCAATTAAAGTCTTGGTAATATCCTTATTCTAACTGAAAAATAATACGGTTTTGATCACAGACTTAATGTTCCCCATAGTGGATGGGGGATTTTTCAACAACATTTGTGGCATAGTAGATCAAGTCATTGTTAATGACACAGTCCCCGTTCAAAATTTTGTGATCTGACATATTAATTTGATGCTGATGAAGTCATCAAGATTAGATTGAAACCATTAATAGGAGATGGATTTGTAAAAAGTTATGATTTAGTGCTTTTACACGAGAATTGGACATTGAGCAGTCATATTGAATCGAATTACAAAAATAATGTTCATGCTGATGTTTCTATTGGTATACTGTCTTTGTACAAAATTTAAACAGAAATGTTCATTACATTCACAGGAAAGTAGGCATGGGTATCATGAAAAGCAAAATGGCCACCAGTCACCCATATTAGTTTGAATCACAGAAAAATTATGACATGCAACTATAACCCAATATGTATGATCATCATACCAACTTTGATCCAAATTGGCCTAGCCATCTCTGAGAAACAGCTCCGGACATGTAAAAATGACAATTTAGCACTTTTAAATGAAATTTTGGTGCCAGTCAGCCATATTGAATCGAATCACAAAAATAATGATGGTGTAGTTGTATCTCTTGGTTTTCTATCTTTGTACAAAATTTAAAGAGAAACGTTCATTGCATTCAAGAGAAACTAGCATGGGTACTATGAAAAACAAAATGGCCGCCAGTCAACCATATTTGTTCGAATCACGAAAAAAATATGACGTGAACCTATAACCCAATATGTATGATCATTCTACCAAGTTTGATCCAAATCGGCCCAGTCATCTCTGAGAAACAGTTCCGGACATGTAAAAATGACGATTTAGTGCTTTTACATGAAAATTGGGCGTCGGCCAGCCATATCACAGAAATCATATTGATGCAGATGTATCTCTTGGTATACTATCTTTGTACAAAATTTAAACAGAAACGTTCATTGCATTCAAGATAAAGTAGCATGGGTACCATGAAAAACAAGATGGCCCCAAGTCGGCCATATTTGTTCGAATCACGAAAAAAAACATGCACCTACAACCCAATATGTATGACCATCATACCAACTTTGATCCAAATAGGCTCAGTCATCTCCGAGAAACTGCAAATTTTACATCAAAAATGGCCGCCAGTCGCCCATATTTTCTCCGATCATAAAGTAACTTGACGCGCATATGTAAGACATTATGTATTGTCTTCATGTAAAGTTTGAATGAAATCCGTCAATGGTGTCCGAGATATAGCTCCGGACGTATGTACGTACGGACGGACGGAACGAACCCAAATTAATAGTCCCCGTTTTCGGACTTCGTCCGAACGGGGACTAAGCGATCTACTAACTGAGGTATAAGCGGATAGAAAGGGTGAGTCCATTGTTGAAAATGCAAGAGTGTAAGTATCGCAAGTGGTTCTGGTATAACCAGATTGTGCTATCCTAGTGGAACTAGAGCATAATTTTAGACAGTTTCTCAGAAAAGTTC